TGAGACTTCTCAGTTCCAGTTTCAGTCGAATTTACTCCAAATTCAGCAGGTAAAGTTGACACATAATGCAGTTAACCTATGTGACCTACATATATAGACCTAATATTTCCAACCTCAGTATTCATAGATTCAACCAGGGTCAAATCTGAAAAATTTGCACTACATTCGACGATATGAATTCTTAAGTTTAGTGAATCCGCGACAGCTTGTACAACAATGTTAACAACCTATGTTCCTTGCATAGAAATACGAGATAAATAACTTAACCATGATCCATCCAAATTGCTTTCTATAAATCGCTCAGGATTATTTCTCAAATACTGGACAGCCAATGCTCTAATTTCTAAGTGATGGTTAGTGTGGAGAACTTTTGTGACTGTAGCGTGACAAGTCGTCACGCTAATAAACTTGTGATTATTGTTTTGTTTTTAGCTATTGTTGATTTCAATTGAGTTTCAATCATGTGATATCTCGTTTCCGGTAAGAAACGCGTGATCTTTAGAATCTTCTTATGATCTTTGGAGTGAATTCGGAACAATAAATAAACAGAAAACTTGTGGATTTACGTGAGTCTTCAGTGTCTCTGGGAATCAGAAAATTCCCCACATTAGAGTCGCCATATAACTGATGTGAAACTGACTTAAAAAATAGGTGCTCGATGAGCACATGAATCTACGGCATTTGCAGTTCATTTTCATTGCGAGCAGCAATGATATCAGGTGGGTAAAGAGGCTGTCAGGTGAACGAAGCAAGTATGGAGCAAGCTTTTTCGGTAGAAAGTGATGCGTACACTATGCACTGGAGCCTTGGTTTAACGAAGTGACAAGGAACATTCGTTCTACTAGTTTGGGGCTGAAGAATATCGATCGTTATAGGGAGGACATCGTCACATAGAGGTTCGTTAAATCGAGGTTCCACAGAAGGTATCGACAGTTTTGAGCTAGCCTTTTTTCGGGAGCATCAACTGATAGTTAAAAAGAAAAAGCAGTTATGCTTTGAAACATTTCAACTTTATTTGAACAAAAATATAACAACAAATATAATGTTTCTTTTCTCTTGTCATGATTTGGTTGACGCTGATTTGAATTATTTGAGGGAAGGGAGGGGTTCCTAGGAAAAAGACATGACACTGAATTGATATTAACCATGATGAATGTATTTTCTGCAAGGTTTCTTTTCTAATGTGACATAATCGATGTTAGGTACGTAATTGTGGACTTATCTCATTAATTTGAACGTATTGAGCATTAATTTATCAGTGAATTCCAAAAGCGCCCCTTCCCCGCCCGGGCGAACATCTGGGCATTTGACTTTTTTTGAAAATTTTGATTAAAAGCCCCCATGTTTACAGTTTAGACGGTCGAATGCCCCACCGTCAAGGCCTCGAAAAGGGCAAATCAAGTACAAATTTATAGCAAATCACTCGTTGCATAGAGTATTTTGGCAGGCTCCCCGTTCAAAATAAATATTTTAATCTAAAATCGCTTACCTTTGCAAACCAGATCCGAAAAATTGAGTGCCAAAACTCTTTTCTGATCTCTTTTGGCGACACTCCAAACTTGAAATAAAGGTATATCAATTGTATATTTAGTAAACAACGGAAAACCTACGCAGAATCTTGAAGTGAAAGGAGCGAAGTGGCTCCCGTTGTCAACGAATGAATATTTGCGCGCGAAACCCTTTAGCTGGCGACCGCCGACCAGTGTTTAGTCGATAGTCAAATGCCCCATCGTGCGGGACGTATTTTGGGTAAATACCCGGGGTATGCCGGGGGGGTGGGCGCTTTTGGAATTAACTGATACATAATGTTAATAAAAATGATGTCGAAAAAAATAGACTTTAAGTCTCAACAATAACGATGATACAATAGTACTAATATCTTTTTTTTTTCTTTTTGTGAAAAGTTTGACATTTGGCAACACAACTTTTTGGAAATTAATCTGAATAGTAAATAAAGATGGAAGATTATTGTTTTGGTACAGTGTTCACTAAGCATTAATTGAAATGCTTTTTGCTATCTTCTTTTTGTCATAAGCAATCTTGACAGGGGGTAACATTTCAGTCATTTGACTTTCTGTTAATGGGGGTGGTAGTTTTAGGTCTAAGCAAAGCTTGAAATGTATTGTCGAAAAAAGTCACCAGAATGTTTTCATACCCAATGTCAAAAAGAACATGGGTGACCCATTTTGGTTACGAGCTTTCGTCTTTTGATGGAAAGAACGGTTACTACATTTGACTATGTTGAATCTGGTGTGCCTTCCACCTTTTTAAAGCATTTAAGGTGGCTCGACTGGATTTTTCAAAAGTCATACTGTTCAAGTTTGAAAATTAACTACGACGCCACGAGCAACGTTATGGTAAAACAATTACCACAGCTGTATTACAAAAAGATGAAAGTTTGTTGTGATTGGTGTTATGTTGACATCGGAGTTTCCATAGCAACGTAATGACGTCATGACAGTTTTTTGCTTTCGTTCGTATTTCTCAGTACCATGAGGTTTTTTCGTAAATCGCTCACTGGAGCTTTTATCTCTTGTTATTGCCTAGATGTTGGCCAAGTTTGAACAAATTCAATGAGAGCATTTTTGAAAATTTTGAGGATGAAGTTTTGAGGGTTAAAAATACAGTAAAAACATTGTTGTCGAGATAATTTGGTGATATCTAAAGAAAACGATGCGCCTTGGGGAATGCCGCTATACCACGTAGTTGCTTTATTCCACTTCAAATTGTATGTAAAAAGTTGGCGAGATTGCTCTTACCGATTGTGAGAAAAAAGGGTTTGATGCCTTTGCATTCAGATGCTCTTGTTGTCATTTTTTTTGCGTATAATTTGGTCTATGCCAACAAATATTGTAATATTTTAAAACTGCTCGATAGATTTTTTTTAAAAATCGTCAGTGCTAAGTTGTATTTTCATTGTATACGGCCTGCAGTTTTCAAGGTTATTGAAAATGTGGAAGTTAATAAAATTGGGCCTCAAAAGTACTAATTTGTTATCCCCCATATCGTGTTTACAAGTGAGCGACCTCATTATTCACAGGCATTGTTTTAAATTCTCATATCCGCGTGCACAACTTCAGCAAAAAATGAATTTGCATCAATTAGAAAGTTCGACTGCATTCGGAGATTTTTTTCCGAAACATGTTAATATAAACTGAAATTTTAATGAGCTGATTTTTAAAGGCATTTGTCACGCAATTATGCTGTAATGCAGCAATGCCGAGGGTATCTCTGACGAGGAAACGGAAAACTGTTGCTCTGCAGAAAAACCAACTGACCGAGCACTCGCAAAAGAAAAGCTCCACGGAGCTCGTGAAAACAATTAACAGTTGTCTCGAGCTAGAAAATCATTCACAGACGAGGACAGACGAGGAAAAAAAGCCATATATTTTGTTTATTTATTTTCTCACCGTGGCATAGTCGCGTTTCCTTTTATTTAAATTTGTATTACATGTCTTATCTGAAATGTTCATTTAATTACCAAGTATTATTGTTTAACAATTATAATATACAGAATCATATATGTATTTATATAAGCGATTATTCTTAAATAAATATTATAACTTTAACAAACGTGAATCGGGAAGATAAAAGTCAATAAACAATTTTCTGAACAAACTCTGATATTCTTTCTTTTTTTCTAATTTTTACATCGATCACCTGAAACTGCAAGGAGAGGCATTGCTGCCAACTAATGATAATAACATTCACCACTGAGATATTACATCTCTAAACAAAACTATAATTATCTAATGTCTCCTTAGAAAAAAAATACTAATAGCCAACATAATCTTAGCAAAATAAAAAATATACAACAAGGGGGTTTGGTTCGGCATTTGCGACAGTATTATCCTGTAAGTTGTCTGTAACAAACTTTGACGAGCTTTCTTTTTTTGCTTTTAAATCATAATCACCAAGACATTCCCGCCGGTAAATGAAAACATCGATATCATTCATCAATGAAAACCTTAATCTAAGATTGCATTCGTACAAAATAGTTAACCACTGCTGTGAGTATGTTTAGGTTTTTCGTCACCCTTGGCTTACTCCGCTTTTCTTGAATTTGCTCAAAGGACTCTGGAAGAGCTAGCACCGCTAACAGAGCTTTCGTTCCACCTTTCTTGTAAACACCCTGCATTGTTTCGTAGTCAAGCCCGGCCTTTCCCATTTTCTCCTTCATTCCTTCGGAGACCGGGAGGCGATGCAGCGTGGACTTTCGGGATTTTGCCTCTTGTGCTGAGTTCATTTTTTTACGAACAGTTCTGCAGGAACTGCGTGCGTCTGAATTCTTTCAACAGATACTTGCAGAGGGACTGAAATAAAATACGCGACAAGGCGGTAGCATCTTCTTGTGCATCATGTGCATCAAACTTTTCTTTCAGTAAAACTTCGTAAACGTCGGACAAAGATTTGCTCTTGCAGGAATACAAAGGGCTACCTTTCTGCTTCATTTCTGTCGAAACAATCTTTAGAGAGTCCACAAGGACAACACCAGTAGCCAGGAACAATTCAAGGAGATTGTTCCTTCTCAGAGCATTGATCAGAACTGGGAAGTCAAACTTTTCACCATTGTGTGCAATAAGGACAACTTGGAAGGAACGGGACTGCTGTTTTAGGAAACTGCAAAATCACTGAGACCCTGAGTTTGCGATACGGCCTCCAGTTCTTTCCCTCTTCTCAATAATGTTTTTCTGCCCTTACAAAACTCTACACTTATACCGTGGACTTGCGTCGCTGACTGGCCAATAATTCGATTTTCTGGAAAAGGTTTACCGAAAATGATTTGGTTTCAGCATTTGGTGGAATGCATGAAATCTGCAGAATATCCGATTTCCGGTCTAGACCTGTTGTTTCTATGTCGAGGGCCAAATGAAGAAAACGTGAACGTTGTTGGATTACAGGTAACTCGGAGACTTCCTGGCTGTTCCCTTCGTTGGATTTTGGGAGATCATCGGTATAATCACTAAACTCCTCCTTTGTCAGACATGCCTTTAGATCGTTCATGGTTGCATTCGTGATGGCGGCTTTCTCTTTGTCGCTCTGTTGCCAGCCGATCCCTGTCTCGTACGTTGCTGACTCGCGTTTCTCAGCAGAATTGGTCTTTTGATTCTTTTTCTTTCGAGAGTTTCTTCTCGCTTTTTGAACTCTTTTGTTGACTTTCGCTCGCCATCCCTTTTCCTTTTCTTGTCAATTTTGTCGGTGTTCTGTTCTGTGATATGCGTCTGTGCCAGACCCATTTTTTCCGTGGCTAATGTCAGATATCTGTTCCCTTTGTTAAACTGAGCTATTCCTGCAGCGGTTCTAAAGTCGCTGCTTTGCGAGCCTCCATAATGTCTTATTTTCGGCGCTTTCGAGCCAATGGAACTGTTTACACTTTCATTTCTCTGTGATGAGCCCGCTGGGGCCAGCTTTTTCACGGAGTCATGAGAAAGAAATGGTCGAATAGCTTCTTCCAAGGTTGCACGTAAATCTTCGCCCGTCAGGTCCTTGCCTCCTGGAAGACTTCCGTGCTTGTAGCCTTCAGGGTCTTTTTTGTATCCACACCAGGAATTGCTGCAGTTATCGTGTTTGCCAAACGCGTGTGGTACGATAGAGGTGAGCCCTTCGAGTAATGAGGATGGCTGGCCCTTGTTTTGGTTAACACAGTAGGTGAAGCTCTTTTGGATGTAGGATATCACGTTAGGAGTCAACCCTTTAATCTTTCCTTTAGCCATGTATAATCTCGTTCCCAGTGTACGACTTGCATGATTCACATCACTCCATTTATCAATGTCGTAGTTAACCAGCGTTTTGAGATGGTTTTCTGTGACGCTGTCGTCATCTCCCACATAAGTCGAGTAAATCACTCCACTTTTCGGGGCGCTTGAAAAAAGCTCGACTGCTACGTTTGCCTCCATACTTTTCGAGGATCCTTCGTGGTTTTTTCGACAGTCGTTGGCTTTCTGCTTCTTTATTCTTTTTTCTCCGCTTCGTCACAAACCCTACACATTTTATTGCGAGTAGCATAACTAATGACTTTTCCGGTATGTAACCCCACTGCTGTGCCCACTCCTGACGACGAGTCGTGACAACGTCCTCGCTTTCTCCAGCCCATATCGTACGACACTCCGAGTTTTACTACTTCCTCATTTCCAGTCGTGGACAACCGCTTTTCTTCCTCATTAAACTGATTACAAGAATCTTTAGCCACTTCTTCTACTGCTTTTCCACTTTCTCTTTCCCGCTTTTTGAAATTGCTTGAGGAAATTGATGGTACACCAAGTGTTGTAAGAAATCCAGAGGTATGCGTATGTCCCAATCCACAATGCAGTGCACCAAGCCCAGCACGGGAATTAGCGTCGAAGGTGGGAGGGCCTCTTTTCCAGTACGATGATGCTCGGCCGGGCGTACGATGTTAATAAACTCACATTGTGTGCATTTAACTTTTAGTACTGGACACACTCCTTCCGGGCGAACATTAAAACTATTACGTAAATCTAGGGGTCCTTGTTTACAATTCACACACTCGCTCAAAGCGGTTGTTAGCATTTCCAAATTAACCACATAACACTGATCCATGTTTACAGCTTTTGTGTACGGCAGACTTGATCTCAAGGTGGGTCCCTCGGAACATTGTCGGCTGTATTGCCTAAACTTATTTCATTTCTAACTTTATCACTCCATCGCTGCTCTCTCATTGCCTTGCATTGTTCTTTCCTAACCGTTTTGGATCTGTAATTAGCTGGACGCCCTGGTTGAGACTGTAGCTGCTCCTCAGCATCCTGTAAACAAAATTTACTAGTTATATAACAAATCACTGACAAATGGAGACCCTCATTGAAATAATGTAGAAAATCGTTATGAAAACATCCATACCTGTGATTCACTTCGTCTAGCCTTCTTTCCTACGGCCACGTTGTTCTGCAGAACAGCAGTTTTCCTTTTTCTAGTCAGAGATTCTCTCGGCATTGCTGCATTACCGAATAATTGCGTGACTAATGCTAAAATTTCAGTTCATATTAGCATGCTTCGGAAAAATATCCGAAAGTAGTCGAGCTTTCTCTTTAATGCAAATGCATTTTTCGCTAAAAAGTTGTGCACATGGATATGAGAATTTAAAACAATGTCTCTGAATAATGAGGTCGCTCACTTGTAAACACGATATGGGGAGTAACAAATTAGTACGTTTGAGGCCCAATTTTATTGACTTCCACATTTTCAATAACCTTGAAAACTGCAGGCCGTATACAATGAAAAAAATACAACTTAGCACTGACGATTTTTAAAAAAATCTATCGAGCAGTTTTAAAATATTACAATATTTGTTGGCATAGACCAAATTATACGCAAAAATGACAACAAGAGCATCTGAATGCAAAGGCATCAAACCCTTTTTCTCACAATCGGTAAGAGCAATCTCGCCAACTTTTTACATACAATTTGAAGTGGAATAAAGCAACTACGTGGTATAGCGGCATTCCCCAGGCGCATCGTTTTCTTTAGATATCACCAAATTATCTCGACAACAATGTTTTTTACTGTATTTTTAACCCTCAAAACTTCATCCTCAAAATTTTCAAAAATGCTCTCATTGAATTTGTTCAAACTTGGCCAACATCTAGGCAATAACAAGAGATAAAAGCTCCAGTGAGCGATTTACGAAAAAACCTCATGGTACTGAGAAATACGAACGAAAGCAAAAAACTGTCATGACGTCATTACGTTGCTATGGAAACTCCGATGTCAACATAACACCAATCACAACAAACTTTCATCTTTTTGTAATACAGCTGTGGTAATTGTTTTACCATAACGTTGCTCGTGGCGTCGTAGTTAATTTTCAAACTTGAGCAGTATGACTTTTGAAAAATCCAGTCGAGCCACCTTAACGCAGGAGTAATAACAACTTAATTTTTCCACGGCTAATATTTCTCCTTTAGTGTGTGTGTTACATTCGTAGATATTTACAGGAAAAGCCAAAGGTATTTCAAAAGGTTCTGTTGGAGTTATGGTTGTCTTGTCACCTTGAGCTGTATTCAAGTAAATTTCATTAGAAGTGAAATTCTTTTTCAATCTCACATTATTGAAAATGAACGTTTTTTCCTCTTCGATTTGATTTTGAAATTCTTCCCACAGTACTATTTTAATACAACCAGTGTGATTTATTATTAGTGCCTCTACTAATGACAGCTTTCCACCTTTGACTTCTTGACTTGAGCTTTTTGCCACTACCTTTGCTTTTATGGTAACCAACTGTCTAACAGAAATAGACTTAAGAGAGGAGATTGTGAAATTGGTAGGTAGCTCTTTCTTATTAAAGTCAACTTCTGAACATTCTTCAATTTTTACGTCATCATTGAGTACTAAGTCTTCTGAATTTTACTTAGTGTCAAGACGACACTTCTTGAGTTTCACAGGTGTATCAGTTTTGGAAAAGCTGTTGAGTACTTTTCTTTTCTGAGGCGAGAAGCATACAGCTCTTACAGTTTTGTACTTCGTTTGAACTTGAAAGTCAAAATAGGTACTATTGTTCCTTAAGGGAGAAACATTATATATGTACCCCTTGCTATTCCATGTTCAAGTTGCTGGTTTACGAATTCTTCACTACTGTCATCAATAGGGGTACTTAGATGATCTTCATCTTTGACCTTAAAAACAGAAATGAAAAAGGCAAAGGGTGAGCTCACAAGAAGTTGCAGAGAAGGCTGATATACATATAATGTATTACTCTAGTAAAAGGGGTCATATGTACAGCTGTAGAATGAGTGCGTTTTGTTAAAACCTCACTTGTGTGTTTTGCAAAAAAAATATTTTGATAGGAATGAAAGGAGTGTCTGCAATTTCATTCAGGTAATGCATATTGTCTGGCTATATATGGCATTGAGTGATTATCATTTTACTTACCGTATGTTGGGTGCTGTTTGGTTAATCTTCATTCAGGACTTCCTCACTATTCTGGTCAACAGAGTTGCTTAGAAGTGTCTCATCTGTTTGGTGAGAAGAGTAAAGTTACAAGAAGCATAGAAAAGATGAATGAAAATGTCATTACACTTTTTAACTTATTGTGAGAACGTCATATAATGAGTTGCTGTCATCATCAGTAATGTCTCCAGAATCTTCATCTGTATTCCAAAAAAAAGTTGGAAAAGAGAATTGTGAAGTTAAAATAAATAGAGAGAAAGTATCTATGCTTTGAGAGCCACTTTGCTTACTATGTGAATGTTGTTGAGAAAATTTTCATCCTCCATGACATTGATATATTAACAGCCTGAAAAGGAAACAAATGAAAGAAATGATTTTAATACAGGAGATACATGAATGAGAAAGACGCGAAAAACCATCATTCATACCTGAAACTCAGATCTTATGCAGATTATTGTATTCTGCTCTGCTTAGATATACAGTATATATATTTTAGAATGAAAGGTATCAATGACTCATCCGAGGCCTGTGTTTTAGTTCTACGTAGCATTTATGTGCATGTATGACTAGTATGTAGCTAAGCACAGCTTTTGAGACCCTCCTATCTGTTAATTTTAATGCAATTTACTTACTAAGTTGTTAAATTTAATGGGTGAATTAGAACACAGACTGATTAGTGGTCACTGAAATATGTTTCAAGGATTTGAATTTTTATATCTGATAAGGGTATATTAGTATAAATATGGTCTAGACATTTTCTGTTATCAGTGGTGTAGCACGATACCAACTGTTCATATCCATGATCTCTTGTAAATAAGTTGTACAAATACATTTTATCTCTGTTGTTTAACAAATTAACATTAAAATCACCCATAAATACATTGAATTGTGAAGACTGTGACATCAGTAGTTCAGACAATGCATGACACATTTGGGTTACTGGGACTCTTGGTGAGCGATAAATTCCAAAAATGTGTATCTGTGGGACTGTAATCAGCCTCAAAACTGTTATTTCAATTCTATTAGAATTGCAAGAGTAGGGATAACCAGAATAATAATCTATGTGACTATAAACTGCCATTCCCTCATATGGTCTTATATTAATAGCTGTCATTGTAGCATCATTTCTAAACAAAAAAGTAATTTTGAATAGCATATATACTATCATGGTCAGAAAGACTGAATCTTGTCTCAGAAAATATATTAATATCAGCGGTGGAATAATTTAAGTCTTTACGGACATCTTCAATATGTCTATGTAAAGATCTTGTGTTTAAATAACAGATTTTTAACAGTATTTGCTCAGCATTGTAAAGAAGACATACAGATAATTCTAATTTTGCGTGAGATCTTAAACGTTTCATTTCTTTTCGTACCTCAGGACTGACAGCTATTTTGTCTTCATATAGGTCAGTTATATGCAATCCTTCTATGGTTGTTACTCTACTTAATCCTACATAGTGAATATGATGTATTCACAACTATTTGACTTTCCGTAGAACCCTGTGACCTGTGAATTGTTTTAGCTGCTGCAGGTTGTAATGGAAACTGTTTTCTAACAACCTGTACTGTTCTATTCTTGCCAACTGCAAACTGTGAAGTAACTGGTTTAACAGATTTAAAAAAGCAATCACCACTACCACCAACATCTAGTGGAGTCAATCCATGTCTACGTAACCGCGTATTTAATAAGTTATGTATTATTACAGGACCAGGGTTACATTCTATATCTCCAGATAATAAAAGCTTCTTTTCTGACAAATTGAAATTCTTATTGTCAAAGGACTGGCACAATAATATTGGATAATAATTAAAGTCAGATCACTCACGGTTTCTGGGAAACCACTCGATTTTTAATCGTCACGATTTATGAGTCACTCGACAAACGATTTTCAACGAGACTCGTTTGTCCGAGAATCGAAACGAGTCTCGTTTGTCAAAACGAGACTCGCTTGACGAAATGAGACTCGTTTGACGAAACGAGATTCGTTTAATGTAACGAGACTCGTTTGGCAGACGTCGGCTCTCAGCGCATACGTAGATGTATAATTTTTGGATCACTCAAGGTTTCTAGTAAACCAGACCAAAAACTCTCGATCTAAAACGACCATGATACCTCGTTTTGCCACTCTGCGACATACCAGGCTCGATTACGCAATCGAGCCTCGATTTTCCAATCGAGCCTCGATTTTTCAATCGAGCCTCCTTTCTTTAATCGAGGCTCGTATCGAGAAAAAAAAAAGAAAAAAGAACGGAGAGGTAAGTAGGAAGACAAAATAGAGAGAAAGGAAGGAAGGAATGCACCAGGCGGCAAACGTAATTTACTTATTCGAGAGGGCACAGGGTCCCGGAAGGGTTGTATCGGTATGGGTAGAATCCACTGAGCAAATGATTACAGGCGCATTGATTGCTCAGCGATTGGACAAAACAGAAGGTAGGAAAGCTGCATTGGGCGCTTCTGTGATTTCATGCCAAAAGAAACCGCAAACAAGTTGTGAATGAGAGATGAATAGATGGAATGCGAGAAAGCATAGAGGATAATTTTCGTTTCTTGGTTTCCAAAAGTTTTACCCGCCGAAAATGGAGTGTACATCGCAGGTACAAAGCGTTTAAGCTTATATTATTTACTGTATTCAATTGTTTTAGGAACTTGTACTAGGCTTAACATCGGTTACTGCAGAGCAAAGGAAAATGTAGTACGACCCATAGAAGCGGAGAGGATAAGAGTCTTAAATTCAGTCTGATAAACAGTTAAGGAACTAAAGTGCTCCTTTAATTACATGGTATGTGGTTAATCTTCAGTGAGCTTAACACCCATAAGTCTCAAGGTGAACAGTTTCTTTAGAATTAGAATTTTCCTTAAAAAATAAACACCAACAACAAGAAAACGTCCAAGAGAGAGGACAAACATACGAGAAACAGTAATAGTTGACACAAGTAAACCAGGCCATACTGCATGTGCAACATTAACTTTTAATTTCAAATGATAACTAGTACTGCATAACACTAAAAACGTTTACATCAGTTACTGAATTTTTTGGGTTCCGTGCTTATTGGTCATCATCAAAAATATAAACAACTTTTAACTTGTTGCCATAAGTGTACACTGGAAAAATTATCAAGTTTCCATGCATGTATTATTTATGGTTTTTTGGTGGTTTTGCTGTGGTTTTTAACAAAATACCATGTGTGGAAAAAGTATTCTTTTTCCACACATGGTTTTTGCACAAATCCACTCATGGTTTCTAAACTTTCCAAATGTGGAAATTATGCATACACAACATTGGGATTTATCATGGTAATTGGAATTCCCAAGAAAGGAAATCGCAATGTCCAAGATTACTTATCCCACTATGGAAAATGAAATACCATGGCGGGTTTTTCTATGGTCAAGCCCACAGATGGATAAAATTTACCACACTTGGAAAGTGGTTTTGTAGGGAAGCATGTTAATCACAATTTCCATGGAAGGAAATCTAGATTTCCAATGGAAAGGACCACATTGTGGTCACTTTAATTACCATGGCAGGTTTTTCTATGGTCAAGCCCACAGATGGATAACATTTACCACACTTGGAAATTGGTTTTGTAGGGAAGCATGTAAATCACAACTTCTATGGAAGGAAATCTAGATTTCCAATGGAAAGGACCACATTGTGGTCACTTTAATTACCATGGCAGGTTTTTTGTAATGAGGCAAGTAGTGATTGAAATGTACTAAGTGGTGTATTTTAAAGTAAAAGTCACAACAAAGAAGCATTTAAGTAATGAAATTTATAATTTCGTATATGCAACAATGTACTGTAACTGTAAAGTACAAAAAAAAAAAAAAAAATACCAAGTACATTGAAAACCAATCTGGTAGTTAAAAGATTGCGACTGAGGAACTGACCCAGCCTGTACAAGAAACCTTTTCCTTTTTAAGATGATCTCTGACCCCAGGCCAACTTCCAGATGAGCAATGTTTAAGATTAAGAGCACACACAATTGCCCAGATAATGGAGTTCTTTACTAGCTTTTTTAGTTGTTTCAACCGCCAAAATATCTTGAAGATCTCTAAACAATTGCAACTGACAGGGTCTCAATGCATTATCACAGGATGCCTGTGTGACTTTCAAAGTGAAAAACATCCCTTACTTCAACATTAAACCGTATGTTGGATAAAAGGCAATTGTGTAGCTCTGATTTATATATAAGCTCAACAAGAAACATCAACATTATTTGTCCATGTACATGAAAGGAGTCCATACATTTACAGATAATTTTTTTGGCCACTTTTAACTGATCTCTCCTTTGTCCACTTCCACATAACCATGTTCCAGGAGAGCATTTGCTGTTGCCGTTATATAGGTCTTTTTGTTTTTTCCTTTTAGGAAGTTTAACACAACATTCTTGAGATTTTTTAATTCCTTGGATCTTTGTCACAGATGGCTTGACCAATGAAACCATACTAGTATCGCACAGTCACATGATGCCTGTACATGTGTGACCAGTTCTGTAGTCAGGCTCAACAATTCTTACAAAATTTGATCCATAGTAATTTAACATCAACATGTGTCAGTTCTGCAGTCACTGGCTCAATTATTCTTACAAAATATGAACCATAGTAAACATCCACATAATTTGCACATGTCCATGTACATGAAAGGAGCTAGCGCTGTCTATACATTTAGAGATCAATCTTTTGGCCACTTTCGACTGGTCTCTCCTGAGGTTGGTAAGGTCTCCTCTTTATCCACTTCAACATACCCATGTTCCAGGAGAGCATTCGCTGTTGCCCTTATATAAGTGTTTTTATCTTTGCCTCTTAGGAGGCTCAGCCCAAACAATTTTTTGAGCTTTTCTAGTTCCTTGGATCTTTGGACATGCATCACAGATGGCTTGTCCAAGGCAACTAAAATAATGCAGTCGCACGATGCCTGTGTCAGTTCTGTAGTGGAAATTAAATGAAAAGATAAATTAGATTAGATACTGGCATAAAACAATCACAACAGAATACATTTCTATAACTAAACTGAATGCGGCACCCCCTTTATATACTAAATTTATAAGTTTACAAAGAACTTTTGCACCAGTTCTAAAGTACTCCCACTCTCCTGCATGCAGGGAAGAAAAAACATTCAGAAAACTTACAAACCATATTGGCAAACAGTACACAATTGGCCAAATAATACATTTGTCATAAAAAAAATGATGTCATACATTGAATTCTGGGTACATGGATCAGTCATAACCAAGTTTGCTTTTCATGAATTACTAGGAAATTTTTTAAGAAAGTGTTTTGCTCTCAGATTCTCGTACAAACACAGTAAATTTGAGGCTGACTGATCTACCTACCCATAATTCAACACGTCACAGTTGCCATCATGAATTGAAGTCAAGAGCACTGCATTTACCCAGACAAATATTATGAAGTGTAACGTGTACTTATTTGGGCTAAAATACGCCACATATTCTTTCCTCTTTTGTCGTATGCTTTATCTTCTAATGTCATCTTTTTTTTTTCAATGTGTGTGAGTAGCCTGTCCATAGGTGTGGTAGGGTCACTAGGGGGGGTATGGGGGGCCTCCCCCAGAAAATTTTGAAAATCTGCATGCTCTGAGGTGCATTCTGGTGCATTTTCAGGACCAAAAAGTTATTTTTTAGGTCGTTGTACACTTTATTATAACCTAGAGTTTTTCTTAAATCTGACTCATTATCAAGAGTTTCTTGAAAATTATGTTTACTCATACATATTACAATGCTTTCCTTCCAGTCCCATGTTACATATTACAATTTACATCTAAATAAAAATTGACCTCTTTCCCTTGTCAGTACTTCATTGACCTGTTATAACATGAATCAACTTTTGAAATAATTATTTTTGCAGTCAGAGTTTTCCTACAGATTGAAAATACAGATGAACAGTTTCGTTATGGCATCCAAGCACTCAGGCTCGATTCTTTTTAGTTAAAAGTCACTGTCACTGAAATCACTTTCCCCCATTGCACTGTCCCTGTCACTGTCGTCACAACTTGGATCATCTTGAAAATTTGCTAAGCCAAGTTTAATGAGGGCCTGCTCTTCCTCTTGCAACGCTTGTTGTTCTTCTTGACTCTGACGATCTTCAACTTGTGGGTCCGTCTGTGTTGATACACTTGTTAATTCTGGTGGTGCAGGTTCTTTGCCCTTGCTTTCTCTTGAGGCTGACTTCCCTTTGGCCAAATTGTAGCGTTTTCCAGAGAGCCATTTCTCAGTGGTCTTCTTCACCAGGGTGTCACATTCTGAAGAATTTGCCTCTGGACCATTCATAGAGATATTAACAAGGGCCTCCAGCATCTCTTGGTCAGCCTGCTCCTGAGCCTTGACTTTATAAGCTTAACTCGACTGACTCCCCTTTCAGGCCATGCGTTGCTTATGGGCATCATGAGAGCTATTTCTACAATGTGCATGAGGAGAGGGAGAAGAGAAAGGAAAGAAGATCTTTGTTTCATTAGCTGGGACATGCACCACTCTGCTGGCATGGTAGTCTTGCCTTCTTTTACATCAGCTGGAATGGCCATCTCCTTCATGTGGTACTTTAATATATTCCACTCTGCCAAAAGTCGGTCTTGTTGGTCGGGGAAGTAGTGCTTGGCAAGAACTTGGATAGAATCTACTCCGTAAGAGGGAAGTTCTGAAGAGCTTGCAGGAATAAGAGTTGGATCAAAGATGGAGAGCGCTCCCAGAAGAGGGAGGGTGTTCTGAAACCTCAGGTCGATGTTTTCCTTCAAAGCAGAGACATACTTGAGCAACAAATTTCGCATGGATGCAAGCTGATGCTCAGAAGGGGAAAACTGCAGCAGCACCATCTTTCCTTCCTTGATATCTTGGCAAAATTGCTTGATGGGGACCTCTTTGGTTGCCACTTCATCCAGCGCTGCCTTAGCACGAACAATTTCTGGTTTAAGGTGACTGAAATTGACAGTAGAATGCTGAAACGATTTTGACAGGTTGTCAAGAACAGGAAGCACATGCTTTAAAACATACAAGCAAGCCAGGAAGCGGACGTTGTTCATTTGAACTAACAGGCCCTGGCATGTGGGGTCCTCATCTTTCATCCTGATAAGGAACTGGATGATGGCAGAGAAGCTCTCCCAAGCGGATTGAACGGCAGCGTTAAATGACAGCCATCGTGTCTGACAGGCCTTCTTCAGCTTCTTAGCTATCTTCTTCTGCGAATTCTTGTTTGAGAGAGTTATTTCACTCACCTCAAGTTGAACTTTCAGGAAAATGGCTGTCTTCTTGTTCGAGTTGTCAAGGAGTTGCCAAAGGGTGTTTAGTGTGTTCTGCATCTTCTTTATTGTGGCAAGATCGTTTTAAAAGTGTCGGTACACGCCAGCACTAGTTTGTGACAAACACAGTGGACAGATATTAACGACTGGATTCTTTCATCTGCTTTCAGCCTGGTAGCTACACCTGACCTTTCTCCCACCATGACACTTGCTCCATCTGACACAAAGCTTTTAAACCAGTCAAAATTGAGACTGTGTTTCTCAATGACTTCAGAAGGATGCTTGTGATGGTTAAAGAATCTGCTGCGTCAGAGCTGGCGAGAACATTTTCCAAACACAAAAATTTCACCTCAACCTTTTCGCTACCCCTGTTATAATACTGGATGAAACCAATCATTTGCTCCAAATTTGCAATGTCAGTCATGTCATCAACCATCACCCCAAATGGCCCAGTTACAGCAGAAATGACTTCATTTTGAATCATTTCACCAAGAAGAAGCAACATGTTGCGAAAGGAACCTACTGATGTGTGATTAAAGCCACTCATATCACACCCCAGCTTCGCAACCAACTTTAACAGACTCTTAACCTTGACATTTGCTATATCCTCCTTTGCCAACCAGTAAAGGCAATAGAAAACTCTTTCATACACATCAACCTGAACTTCAGCATTATGATCGAGCTCTTTCTGGAAAACTGAGAACCTGTTCATAAGAATGGCAGTGATTGCATCTTTGTGTCTCTTTTTGTTGCAATGTGCTCCTCGAGGCAATCTTTCTTTAACCTTGTGCTTGGTTCTGCAGAAAAAAATTCCTTTTGTTTTGGGGATTCTTGGAATCAAACTTCTTGCAGATCAGACAGTATTGACCTTCTCCTTCGATGTAAACGAGCCACCACATCTGTACTTTAGGGCTATAGGCCAAATCCTTATTAAAGATAAGGCTGTGATTAAACATCTGCTTCTTTTTGGTTGTTTTGATGCGTGCTCTTTCTTCTTGAGACACACCCAAGCAGTCACGCTTTTTGCAGAGAATGTAGTGATGAATTTTCTTCGTCTGCTGTTCTTCAGTGAAACTGTTCGTGATATCACTCTCTGACTGTATACACACAGTATCTGTGGGAGGAAAATACATGTAAGATTCTTTACCTTTTTCTTCAGTGTGTGATGCAAACCACCAACTAGAGAAGGCTACTCTCAAAAAAAAAGAAATATCACGAATTGTAATAAAAGTTCGTTTACCTTCAGCGTGGTTGGTAGGGGCTGCGGTCACAGAGATTTCTTGGCAGTCGCGTAACACATTGACGGGCAAACTTTCGGCATCTTCGAAGTTTAAGGACGTACTAGGCGTTGCAGAAGACCCTTCCGTGTCCGGTGCATCTAACGAAAGCAGTGAGAATATGTATCGATGTTGACAATGTGTACCATTTATCCCCATGACCAACGCGTTAAATAAACCAAGCATAGTTATTTCGCGCTCACGTATATGACCTCACGTATACAAAATTTGAGTTAAAGGCGGAGATTAAATTTTATTTTTAGCGCGACATACAAGCTCCATAAATAATGCATTGTTAGCCAAAATTTCAATCGATTAGATAAATCAATTTTATTCCGCGCGGGCACAACTGTTTTAACTGTTTTTTTTAGTTATCAGAAGAACAATGCTTTGCTAAACAATCAATTTCAGTAAAACTCATATATGTTAAGCGAGCCAGAACATGTGGCGCGACTTATGTCGCGACTAGTCTGGCTGTGTCGGCTTCGTATAAAATTAATTTTCCATAAAGAACTGTAAAACATTCAGTTTCACCCGCTTTACTGATTATGAAGACTTGAAATGAAACTTTAAGTCTCACAAAAATCTTAAAATGCCTGGCTTATATAAAAAAGTTAAATGTGACCAAATTTGTGTCGGCATAAAATTTATTTAATCGCCAGAGTCTGCCAGTTCATTCTCGAAACGGCGCCTCCACGAAACCAAGCGTTGAATAAATAAAAGCATCCCTTATAAATCGCCTTGTTGACAATAAATAATTCAACCTAAGCGATACAATATTGTTTTCAAGCAATGTTTCATTCATAACATGCACCAATACTTATTTTCTGATGGACTGGGGATTGTAAACAGGAACCCGGCGAACATTTGCATTTTAAAAAAGTGTTTCATACCTGCAATCTCCTTTCTTTGCTGTTTGAACCCAAACTGGGTTAAAAGCGGCTGTGATTTCTGCCTTTTCATCCGGTGACTGGGACCGTTTTCTTAAAGAAAGCCCAAGTACAAAGCTCTCACGAATTCACAAACAGATTCAAACACGCGATGTGGAGAAGAAGACGATTTCATAATTCGCTTACGCAAGAAAAAAACTAGTCACGAAATAGCAGGATCAAATGTCGGTCTTTCGTGGGAAAACGCAAATGGTTTCCAGTCCAAGTTGAATGCTGTTGAATAAAAGAGTTACGATTTCTGATGCTGGAACGCGATCAGTGGGCAAGAACAAAATATGTTATCCCTAACTTTAACCCATAGGAATCGGAACTTTATGTTTTTTTAATTTTTTTTTTTAATTTTGACTTCCAAAAGTACCCGGCGCTAACGCTCGAAGTAGCCGGTGACTTGCGTCGGGCGCCGGTTACTTTTGAAAACACTGAAACAGGACAATAAAATCTTGGAAATGGAATCTTCAGGACCTCAACATTCATCGATAACTGATAAATTTCCTTTGGTAAGATGGTAAAGGACAAAATCTGCTGTTCATCGTACCGCGTTGCGAAGCGACTTCCAAACATCCACGGATCGCAAGCGTGGCAAAAATGCTCGAACTGACAGTAAATATTTTACTTTACTTCGTCTATTTTGGATTATGGAACAAGATTAACCATCACTCCTCACGAATATGTCTGTTTTGGAGGACTAGGATGGAGACAGAAAGGTAGAATTCAACATCTGTTTCATGTGTGTTTGCAGGGTAGCGTGAAGTGATAGAAAATAATTCGCTTTGGCACTTGCAGACCACCCCCCTCAAAATCTTGGCACTAACAGGGTTTAATGTACAAACCTTTAAAAAGCTCACATTCCTCTTTAAATCCTTTTCTTTCCAGCCACTGCAGAACATCTTCCACACTCCAATCTTGAGCATGCAAACAAAAAACACACTGGTTTCAGTTTCAGAGTTTGTACCGAAGGTTATTTATCTGAATTAAGCTATGCTTGGTAGGTTTAAAACCCGCGGCCAAAACCGGCCCCGCGAAAACCACCCCCCAAATACCTGAGCCGGCCAAAAAAAAAAAAACACACCTGTGTTGACCCTGCCGTTATTCATAAACTAGTAGTAATCAAAGATTAATAAGTGCGTTAGAAGTTCAATGAATTTAGCTAAAATCATACAAAAACAGAGGAGGAAATTAGTTGAGAGATTAAATGAGAAAGACGAAGTATTTAAAGAGCAACATGAACAATAGTAACTTTAATAGTGAAACCCAAATATGTAACCAAAGATGTTTATCTACTTAGTTACAATGTAGTTTAGATACTGATTGTGGGAGACTAACTTTTGTAACAGTAACATGAATGATAGTAACTTGAATAGTTACAAGGGATTGGTTAGTTGCAAGGGAAAATGTAACAAAACATGTTAGTCTACTCAGTATCTTGAAAAACTGAAAATGATAGAGTAGATTTTATAACAACAACATGAGGCTATGATGAAGTTCAAAATGCTATGAAAATTAGATTTTTCCATGTCTAAACGTTTCGTGTCTGTGTGTCATAGCATTGTTTAACAATTTTTCTTAACTTAACAGTAACCTGGATGATACTAACTCGATTAGTCACAAGGTAAAATGCAATAATTAAAACATGTCAATCTACTCATTTACAATGTAGTTCAGATACTAAATGAGTGAGACTAATTTTTGTAACGGTAACATGAATAATAGTAAATTGAATAGTTTCAAGAAAGTTATGAAGTTGGCAATGCTATGAAACTTTTGCAATGTTTAAAAGTTCTGGTGTTTGCATGTCATACCATAGTTTAACAAAAAAAAATTTAATAGTAACATGAATAGTAACTTGAATAGTTGCATGGGATTGGTTAGTTGCAAGAGAAAATGTAAAAAAAACATGTCAATCTACTCAGTATCTTGAAAAACTGAAAGAGATAGACTAAATTTTATAACAACAACTGGAACATGAAGCTGTGATGAAGTTCAAAATGCTATGAAACTTAGATTTTTTTTCCATGTCTAAATATTTCGTGTTTGTGTGTCATAGCATTGTTTAACTATTTTTCTTATCTTAACAGTAACCAGGGCCGGGTTGTTCAAAGCGCGATTAAAAGCAAACCCAGGGTTAGCGTCAATTTTTATTCCAGTTAAATTAATAACCAAAAGAGATTTTCTTAAGGATTCTTGCTCTTTAGTTTTATTTTTCGATTTGACTTCATGTGCAGCTTATAATTAGCTTTTGAAATCTTTTTAAACAAAAGAGATTAAATCTTTGATTAAGCTTTAATCGTGGGTTAGCAGTAATCGTCTTTTTGAACAACTGGGCCCTGGATGATACTAACTCGATTAGTCACAAGGTAAAATGCAATAATTAAAACATGAGAATCTACTCATTTACAATGTAGTTTAGATACTAAATGAGCGAGACTAATTTTTCTAACAGTAACATGAATAATAGTAAATGGAATAGTTTCAAGAAAGTTTAATATGAAATTCAAAAATTAAGTGCTATAAAAGTTTTTATGATATCTAAAAGTTTTAGTGTTTGTATCTCACAGCATGAATTATTAGTAACTTAAATAGTTACTAGAGATTGGTTTGTTACAAAGGAAAATGCAACAAAACATGTTAAATGGCAATTTTTTTTCAATGTCCACAAGTTTTCGCGTTTGCGTGTCAAAGCATACTTTAACTGTGTCTAGGTTTAAGACAGCCTCTGTGATTTCCTCCTCTGTTGTTTCATTTGCAATTAAGTGACAAATTGAAAACAACTTTGGCACTGCTTCTTGATAAACCTGTAGCTGAAGCTTCTGCAGTGGTTGTTTGGAGTTTTGGATATGGATCTTGAGTGTCCACTTTACACTGCAGCTGGTTGTCTTTTTGTGTTACTTTGCAGTTATCGCAGACTGCAATTTTTCCCTTGATTGTAACTTTTTTTGAACATGAACAACAACAGTTGTATTTGGTGACACTGCTTATTCCTAGTATTTCTCCAATGGTTTCTGTTGTTGTTGAGATGTCACTGACTTCAGGTAATGTTTGTTTGAAGGGTTCAGCGTCCTTGATGGTGTATAAATTATCTTGTTTTGGTGTGTTCAAGTATCTTTGATTCTGAGATACTTTCATTCTCAAGTTGTTGAAGAAATAGGTGGACTGTGGTGTGACGCTGTCAACATGCTCACCCCAGAAAATAACTTTTATGTAACCAGATGGATCAACTATATAGCCTTCCTGTTTTTTGACAGGAGAATCTTGGATGACTATAGTTTTGGTCGCACTTAGATGTGATATCTTTCCTTTTATTGACACTAGCTGTTGTGGTGCTACTTTTGACAAGGATGCAATTGATGTGACATCATCTTGTGCTTTGTATGGAAAATCAGCTGTTGTTGAAGTGATGGTTGTGTTCCTGTTTATTACTACATCACTTCGTCCATACTTTATTGCTGATGTTAAAATTTGAAATTTTAACCGGTGATCTTTGTGCGGCCATTGCATCAAGAGTTTCCTTCTTTTCAGTTGCAAAGCATACACTGCCAATGAGATCTTTCTCTGTCTGAAGGTGGCAGTTAAAGTAGCTTGTTGGTCCAGATTTTTTTACTGGTGAGACATTATGCACAAAGCAAGTTATGTCTTGTTTTTCTGTAGGAGGAGGTAAAAAGATATTTAGATTAATGTAATAAATTTGGCATGGATGGGATTACTGCATAAGGTAGCTTGTGTTATTTGAAA